CTACTAAAGAAAATTGGACAAGGCTTAAATCAACTCATAGATGACATATACACTGCCCGAGGAAAATGGATAGCATGAAATAACAAGAGCAACAACAGCAACACCAACAACCACCAAAATAATAATAAAAAGATTATCTTTTTCAAATTCTACGTAATTTTGTTGCGAGTATCTTCCTCTTATTTATGTTCACAACTTTTATTGATTAAAATGACGTGGAGATTGCAGAGTTGTTAAGATATTAGTGCGTCCATTATCCCATAAAAATTTTCAAGGTAAGTAATCTTGGGAACTTAGAAGTACATTAAAATTGGGACAAGAAAAGAAGCCAACAAGTACATTTATATTGGAACTTAGGAAGTATTACATTTTTATTTTTCTTTAATGTCAATAACCATGCAAGTTACATAAACCATAAAAAAGAGAGTAATATGAATATCTTAACCATTCTGTATAAAAGAAATTGACCAATTTTTGTGGAACAAACAGAAGTAGTAACCAAGTATATCTTTTATAGAACGGAGGTACTACTATAATTCTCGTAGTAATTTGCCACAATTTTCAAAACCTATAAATACATTGTGAACAATATTAATAAATTTATTTATATTTATCATCATGCATAATTTATAATATATATTATATAAAACATATTGTTTAATAATGTCTAATACAAAGATTATGCAAAATCTAATGCTTTGATAATTATTTTTAAGATAGGGGGATATACCTTACATATACAGCTTTTATGTTCAACTTTGTTCGGAAACGCATTATATGGGACACATAGGTACAATACAATGTCTTTCAGAGTACAGTCACATATCAACTGAGATGTCCAATAAGCATGTAAGTGTAAACCTCGTTCTGAATAAGGGCAAAGAATATCAGATTCGACTCAACATGTAGGAAAGGAAGTTTAAATTAAGCATCCAACGTACTATATAAGCACATTTTCACGCCTAAAGTATGCTCAAAGTGGCGTTCCATTGAATATAAGCTTACGAGTTTTTAATAAGATCTACATTCAGCAAAAAATACATTAGGGATGTATCCTTTCTCCCAGCTTCATTTTCAGGCTGTACATATTATAAATGAAGATTTACATTTAGGGAATAGGAATCCCAAAAATACAATCTTAAATTGCTATACTTATAACAAAGAAGGGAAAAAATAAAATAAAAATCACCACTCCACAAAAACTTTATGGCGAACATTACATAACAGGTCATGACAACTAGGGAAGGCAAAACTTTCTTGGTACTAGATTATCCATTAACCATAATAGTTTTGCTGCAAGTAACTCCTGAAAAGCCATATATGAAAATCACAAATAGCTAAGTTCGCAAAAGCTTTTATTTCTTTCAAGCATTATGCTTTGGCGCAATTCTAGTGAAACCCTGATTGAAGAAAATATAAGCGCCATATGCTTAGACATTACAAAGGACATTCAACATAATACAAGTAGACCCCTTGACTTGATAAAACAGATTTGGAAAAAGTCATAGGGCAATGTAAGCGTTAATGGCAATTTCTATTGTCTCCGCATTATTGTGTGCAATTTATGCAAGCATAATACCTACTGATACCAATCATCATCAACTAAAATATATAGCTCTCTTAACATAGAAATGTATCTAAAATCTTTGATTCTATAATTTAGTGTCCATATTTCTGAAGTAAACAGAGAAGGAGACACGGCACAGTCCCTCCTAAAACATGAAAATGGTTCATTCAATTTTAATCAATACTTTCATTCAATTTTAACCAGAAAAACAGTACATAACAGTCACCAACAACTTATCCAGAAAAGGCAGGACATGGCAATGCACATCAAACAAACCAATTTTTAGTGGTTTCTTAAAAGGATCTTTAGTAGTTTGATCAGCTTCAGATTCCTGCTTCAATGTGAAAACACGGTTAATTTTTAAGTAAAATACCAAATGGGTATGCCTTAAAAAAGATGTAACTGATCATTAAGGTTATTGGTGTTAGGCTACAACCCCACCCACTTCAGGGATAAAAAACTGGCATAGCCTAGAATAGCATTACTCGCATCCATTGTGGGTTCCTATCAATAGCTCCACAAGCTTACTAGTTAACGCAAGATTTACAATCATCATTTTACAAGGACATTCTTTAATTAGTTAGTTCTACTTTTGACACACCACACTTTCAACTTCAGCAGGAGCTAGACCGCAATGCCAAAGAACTTCATCTAGATTTCCATGAAAACTCCTGAACTCCTAGGGAATCTCCAAGTTTAACTCCTATAAAACCTCATAATTTACAAATCATCCCATAAAAATCCAATCTTTAACCTTTCATTACCTTTTCTTCTCCAAACAACATCACAAAACAAAACACCCAAACAATTAACCACAAATCACCTGAATCCCAAAAAAATAAAAGAAAAAAATCAAGGTCAACCAATTCCAAAGCACACATACGCAATTACACCATATTACACCATACCTGGATTCTTATCGGATGCATCAAGATACACTGGCTCCTCCTCCTCGGGTACCGGATGCAGCCCAGATGCTTCCTTATAACCCGCCTTTGCCGATCCTGGCTCGCATTCATCAGCCCCTCCATCACTCTCATCCTGGAACCTCACGACCACCACAGGGCACACGCAGTGGCGCACGCAGTAGTCACTCACGCTCCCCAGCCTCCCTTTGCTGCTTCTCCTGGAGGCCCCAAATCCCCTGCTCCCCATAATCACCGCACTCAGCCCCAGCCTCTCAACCTCCAGGCACAACCTCTCCTTCATGTCGTGGTCCTTCACGATGTGGATCTTGAACGGGATATTCGCCTCCACCAGGGGCTGGGCCAGGTCGTTGGCCTTGCTGGTGGTGAAGTTGTCGAAATCGTCCTCCAGCTTCTGCTGCGACCTCTCGTCGCCGGCGCCCTCGACGGTGAGGTCGATGGCGCCCCAGTCGGCGCCGTACAGGACGGAGGTGGGGCGGACGTGGAGGAGGATCACGGCGTCCCCGGGGCGGAGGTAGTTCTGGACCGCCCACTTGACCGCGAAGGCGCTCTCGTCGCTGAGGTCGACGGCGATGGCGATCTTACGGTGGGCTCCGGAGGTGGGAGTTCCGGGATGGAACCGAGGGGATGCCGGCTGGTGGAGGACGGCGTTCGCCGCCGGTGAGAGGTCGCCTTTACCGCGAGGTTTGCCCGGCGATGCCATGCAGGGTGGGAAAGGGTTGGGCTTTCGAGGTGTTCGATCAATTGGGAGGTGAATTTAGGGGTTTGATGATCAATTTGGGATTTGTGAGATTTGTTGATTGTGAACTTTTGCTATTGACCTCTTTCAAGTCTTTTGGTTCTGCACACCTGTGTGAAATCGTTGGTGAACAGAAAAAGTGTTTTAGGTCGAGGGATAGGAATCTGCTACGGACGGTGCACCTTATTTTTTTTCGATATCCTCTCTTTCTGGCTTTCTGCCAATTTTAAATTTTCATGCGATGATCATCTCTTCTCTCAGACGAGGGCAATTTTGACATTTAACACCCTTGGCGAGTCAAACGCAGAGGCCGCGCCTCAGGGGATAACTACTACTCTCGAGACTAGGATGTTCCACCTCCCGACAGGGTGACAATGAAAGGCCTATCCATTTCCAGAGGACACGTGCTCGAATAATCCCCAAATTAACTCACAGACATTCACCGCTTGTTGCGTTATCATTTCCAGATCCCGTTGAGAGAGGGTAAAAAAGTAAAAAAGATGCTCAAATCTTGGGCTTGTGAGTTCAGCCCAGTCATTGTCTTTTTTTTTTTTCCAACGTCAATTATATTAATAACTAAAAACTCAAAACGAGTACAACCGAAGTGTCAAGTGACACACTGGAACCAGAAAACTGGACCAACTCCCTTGTCGATACAAACAAGGGGTACAAACTCCATCAAGGAGGCGAACACCCGTAAAACAAAACTCCATAAAGGAGAGAAAAGCAGACAAAGCTGCACTAAAAGCAGACACAGCTGCACTAAACGAAACAAAACAACAAAATAAAAATTAAAAGCAACACACACCTAATAAACAAGAAGATACAGTAAAACCTCCCCTCAACCTAACAGCTGAAACTACCTAAAACCACTTGAACCGTCTACCAAGTCACACCCCAACAAAGAAAACCAACTGAACACCAAAACTAGGCTCCAAACCCGAAAACTGCGGTCACTCTACCGCCTAGACGAATTTTCGGCCCAAATCTGAGTCCGGAAGACCTTCACCGCGGGGATAAAAAAGGAGAACCATCACGAACCCGTCGGAGGACTAGAAGGGATAGATCGAGGAGACGACAGCCTGAAACCGAGCTGCCCAGCCCGAAGGGCATGTAGCCCGGCTGAACAGGGGCGCACTGGCCGCGAGTTGGGCTCGCCCAAGCCAAAATTAGTCTCCAAGAAGAACATGGCCGCACAGATCGAGCCTCCAAACGGACCGACGAACTCCAGCGGCTGGGCCTTTCAAGCTTAACCGACGACCTCGCCGAAGACGAGGGAGGGACCAAGGAGCGAAAATCGCCGCTGGCCAACCACCCCAAGAATTCCTAGAGGCGGAAAGGAAGCACCCAGCCGCGACTTGGCCAGAACGGCCCGGTGACCACGGGAGTGCGCCGCCGGAAAAGGGGGGGCTGCGTTGAGGATATTTCTTTTTTTTTCTTTTGCGGCGGTGAAAGGGGAAAGGGGAAAGGGGATAGGGTTTGTTAAAGAGAGGAGAGAGTTCAGCCCAAGTCAGTTTATTCATTAATGTGTCAGTTTATTCGTGAATGTTGAGTTCGGCTCGCATTGTTTGGTAAATGAGTCGAGTTCAAAATCGTTGAATGTTTTCTTAATTAATAAGTCGAGTTCGATTCGTTGATGATCAAAAAATGAAATGTTATATAATTTTTTATAATTTGATTCGTTAAAGCTTGTTTTCAATTGGAGCTCGATTACTGACTCTTTAACTAACGAGATGTGGATGACAATCAAATCGAGGGTTCGAGCCAATTAACCGGTTTGTTGTAGTATTGAATTTATGTTATAATTGAAAATTATTTGTTTCGACTTTAGTTCGTACAATTTGTTTGAGGCTCACGGTTCCAAACTCTTCATTTGAAATGTCGGTACCGTTAATAAAATTGAAATTTAAATTTAGATTTTAATTTGAGATTGATTGAGACTAATGATTTCCCAATTCTTAGGATTTGAAAAAAAAAAAAAGTGAATCAAGAGTTTCGTTTCAATACCGTTGATCACCTCTAATTAGAATATACTTTGTCATTCTCGGATGACCAGTTGTTATTCAAGGTTCGAGGACATCTTGAATTGAGTTTCATTGTTAGTCACCTCATGAATTCTTATTCTTGAATGCCCATAAAAGTATAAGGCAAATATTCAAGAGCTCTTTTTTTCGTTTATAAATCAAGTTATTTTTTCCATATAAGAGAAAAAGTATATAAAATGAAAGAATTATTGATCATCATATTATCGACTAGCATTATTTCAAATTTGAATATATTCACATCAATAAAAATAAAGAATATACAAATTAGAAATACAATTTAAATAAAAAAATGAATCGGTAGTGCAAACAACCATATGGTTCTCTCTTTATTTATATATTTGTAACCATTAATTACTTATTTTTTATCATTATTTACTGATTTTATATTTTTCAGTAAATATAAATTTATTTGAAAATGATTTTTTTTTTTCAAAAAGCGATGATAATGAGATTTCCATACCTTACGTAAATAAAAACTAGGTTGTGTTTTTCTTTTCTAAAAAAAGAAAAAATATATATTAAAATTGCTCAAGCTCAACGGTATCTCGTAACAGCCAAAGATCACCCATTATGAAAGGGTAAACTGGTAAAAGAATGGTTAATCCCTTGTGACTTGTTTGGCTCATTCACAAACACGGTTAAAAAGAAAACGGGCATCCCAATTCAGATCGAGCAATCTCGCCGTCAAAATCCCAATTCACCTGAAAAAATATCTCTTTCATCCAGAAGAACAAGGAAAATGTCGCAGAGACACTCGAAGAACAATAACGATTTAGCGTTCTTCACGCACGACGAGAAGCCGAAGCTTGGCTATGGCACGCAGAAGGAGAGACTTAGGAGGGACTCCATCAAATCATTTGATGTCTGCAGTCTCTGCTTGAAACCTTTTATCAAGCCCATGTCCTGTCTCAAGGGTCATTTTTCTGTAAAGAGTGCGTTCTCGAATGCCTGTTGGCGCAGAAGAAGGATATACAAAGGTCATTCTTCTTTGTTATATTTTTTTTCAGCTATTCCCTTTTTCTGCCTGTGTTTTTATTTTGGGTTTTTTTTAAAGAATCCTTTTGTTTTCTTTCTCCGTTGATGATTTGTGTTGTTTTCATGTTTGTGTTTGTGTTATGGCGGGATTATGCTATTCAAGTGTTTGATTATATGTGTTTGCTGTTATTTTGGGATTCTGCTATTGAAGTATTTGAGTGTCGGCTATGAGAGTTTAGTTGCAACACTGGAGATGGTTTGGTAGCTAGTCTTGAAATTTTGGGTTCAGAGAAGTTATATCACACGATTGTACTTATGGTTGATCTATAGTTAACAACCCATTGGTATGCGTTGATCTCAAGCGTATATGTGAGTATATGAGAATCTAGAGATTCTGAACAAAACAGCGTAATGCATTGCCCTGAAGACCTTTTTGCCGTGTGTGAGAATAAATATTTTAGCTATATACAATTGCAAGGTTGTCACTTGTAAGTGTTTGACTGAAACTCCCACTCCCCTAAAAATCCCCAGAAAAAAAAAAAAAATGGTGTACTAATCTGGTTTGCAAAAGCAACTAAGTAATCTTGTGTTGTATAGTCTGAATTCAGTCTTTTCATCCTATATGTGAAGGTGAAAATGGAAGGATGGTTTTTGGAATTTGAATGGTGGTCTTCAGAACTCTTGTGTGTTGTGCTTTGTATATTTGTGGAGTTAAATTACCAGTCTTACCTAAGCAGAAAGATTCATGAGAGACTCTTGATCATAAGCTGTGACAATTCAGAATTCTTGAGCCTAGTTGAATTTTCGTTTGAAAAGGANNNNGAAAAAGAAGATACAAATTGAGATCACATTCGGGAAAAAAGAAATATTATATGTAGCACTTTTGACTGAAATTTTTCTATTTAGTTAATATTTGTAAGGTTCATTGTATTTTAAAAAATTAAAAAAATCATTTAACCAAAGGCATGCATGATACTTATATTTTTCCTTTTGACAATATTTAATGAAAAAAAGAGTTGTCATTCAATAAAGATGATGACTCGGATTATAAAAAAAAACATGCATTGTTCAAATGATTTTGATTCAAATAAGTTTGAAACATATCATCATATATGACCACTATAAGGCATATTAAAAAAATTATAAAAACATGATTAATTAGTTATTTTATTTGTAAAAAGTTTTGTTATTTTATTTGTAAAAAGTTGATAAAATGATCAATTAGTATTAAATTTTGTATATAATTAAAATATTTATTTATTTAGAAATGCAAAAGCCCGAAACAAAAATTCTTAGACTATTTCTACACTTTTTTCTTTAATAATACATGGATATAAATAAAGATTTACAGAGTGTATTCTCATTAACAATACATAGTTTATATGAAAATTTAGATGAAAAGCTACATATTTATTAAATTTCAAATATTTTTTTTAATATTTAATTTTATATAATCAGTAAGAATCCAACAGATTTTATGCTATTTTCGAACTTTTGCTTTCCGTTAAGCATATAATTGTATAATTTATGATAATTTATCTTATAATAGATTTAAGGTAATTTAGACAAAATATGCATATTTCAATTTAGGTTTGCCATGGGATTATAGAATGTTAGATTATTTTCTAAAAGTTTTGATATTTAATAAGAAATACAAAATTTTCTAATAAAGTAAAAACATTTAGTGGGAAAATTTTAATATGCCTATTTATAGACTTTCTTCGGTTTAGTAATATATAAGTTATGACTATATTTGATGCTTTGGGCATATGCTTTTGTTAACTGTAGAAGCATAACTTTTGACTAGTGGATTTAACCAACGGCGGATCCAGGATGATTACATTATGGGGACACCGTATAATTAACACCGCGTCGTCGCCTCGCTCTCAAGCTTAATGTATCATTTTCTTTTTCTTTTTCTTTTTTTTTTTAATATATGTATTCATATATTGACGGAATGGTCTGAGGCCACTATATTATATATATATATATGTGTGTGTGTGTGTGTGTGTGTGTGTGTGTATGTGTGTGTGTTTCATACTTTATTTTTTAAAACCTGTTGGGGGCCTGTGACCCCATTAAAATGGGCTGGATCCGCCAGTGGATTTAACCTTTTCTGTGGTCAAATGAATTTGGTAATTTTTTTTTTTAATTAGATTGTTCTTTATGGCAGCTGTCCATATTACAGATTTGGGAAGAACATGAAACGAGCTGGAAGTGGTTCTTGTTTTCTTCAGGTAAATACTGTTTATTTATTTATTTGTTCCTTGTGGATTATTTATTCTGTCCTAAATTTCATGCACTTTAGTTATTGCTGTTTTTTTCTTTTTATTTTTTTGTGGTTGGAGTTGCATGGTAGCCTGTGTTGTATCAAACTTATCTCGTCTCGATCAACTAGTGTTCACAGATTTATTTTTGATACGTTTCTGATTTAGAGTGAGCTGCATATGAACATGATCTTGAGAGATGGTGAACTTTGGATTCCATTTTTTTTTTTTTTTGGCTAAAGGTATATGCATGCTTAATTAGCTTCCACCAAGGTGGCAAAGTTTTGTTGTTAAATAGTTAATGGAGTTGAACATTTCTTTCTAGTTGATGCTCTCATGTTTATCAGACATGCTTTTGCAGCGTTTTTGTCAGGGCTAATTACAAAATAAATGTTGAACAAATTTGTGCTAATTATTGAAAATTCAGTTCTCTCTCAAAATTTCCGAATCCTATTGACATTTCTTTCTCTAGCACAAACCGTATCATAACGAGGAGATTGTTTCTAGGTACAACATCAGAATGTGGTTTTGTAACTTTGAGCAAGTACTTGTAATTTTGAAATAACTGGCACTTTTTCTTAAAAGTTAGACTTCAGGGCCGATTCTGAAATGACTCCATTTTGGCATCCATTTCTACTTCAGTAAGTTTTTGAATTGTACATATGAACTGTGAAGCCAGTGAGTTTTTACCTTGAAAGAGCCACGCTAATTCAGAATAATGAAGAACCCACTTTGATTTACCTTTCTACTATTCTTCAGCATCTATTGATTTACCTAATTCCTAGCACGCGTTTTTACTGCATATCGGTGATGGTGCTTTTGACGATTTTAAGCATGGAGAAAAGCCTCGAAAATCAACAGCACGCGTTTTTACTGCATATCTGGTAGAGCATTCTTCTCCTTTGGTCCCACCACGCGATTAATGTCCTTGTTTCAAGTTAATTGTTCCAAGTCTTATTAGTCGGGGTGGTGAATAATGGGGTGGTGAAATATTATTAGAAAATCTGGAAGAAAAAATGGTTGGTTTCCTTTGCATGAAAATATGGGGACCATGTCAAGATAAACTGGTCCAGACTTGATGTACATATGTAGATTTTGCATGTCAACTAGTGTTTGCAAATGTTTGTAGACTTTGAAGAAATCATGGATATGTATCTTATAGTTGTCTTAATAAAGTATTTCTGTTGCCTTTCCCCTTATGATAAACGTGAAATAGTAAATAATAATACTCAATTGAATTCTTCATAGGTGTATGTTGATTCAACGGTAATAAACTATTGTGGGCAACAGGGTTGAATTCTTCAATTTTCATGAAGTGTTGGTTGGAAATCCTGTACAAAATCAACAGTTTAATCGATTATAGAAGAAAGANAGTCATTTTTCAGCTTTTTGAGCACGAAAGTAGTATATTGTAGATTAACATTTCCCAGTCATATTAAAAGAGATCTTTCATTTCAAATAAATATACTTGTTTGCCAGGTGCAAGCGAAATCCCTGTTCTTTTCTTACTTTATCTTGTTTTCTATGGAAAATTCTTTTCCTACCTCAGAGCTCCAGGTATCAACATTCTCCTCTATATGTATTTTTTTTTACTATGTCGGGCAATCAATAAAAAATATTATTTCTTTAACCTGTTTCTTGCTTTCCTTGTCTTTCCTCAACCGGAAACAACCTTAGCCATGCCCGCTTATAAAAGAGATGAGACCGGCTCAGAAGTTCCTCCACCGACTAATCCAACACATTCTCAAACCGACGAACCGGAAACCGCCAAAGAGGAGTCTCAAAATGACGCTCCTGCCCTCAGCCCAGTCCCACCTGCCTCCGACGATCCGAAACTCGATGAGGTGTCCAAAAACGACCCGCCCGTCCAAGAAATCCCACCTGCCGACGGACCGGAAGCCATCAAAGAGGATATCCAAAATGACGCTCCTGCCCTTGGCTCGACCGGTGAAATCTCACGAGCTGACGGACCTGAAGCCGACAGAGAGAACATCCAAAATGACGCTCCTGCCCTCGGCTCGACCAGTGAAATCTCACGGGGCGACGGATCTGAAGCCAACAAAGAGGATATCCAAAATGACGCTCCTGCCCTCGGCTCGACCGGTGAAATCTCACGAGCTGACGGACCTGAAGCCGACAGAGAGAACATCCAAAATGACGCTCCTGCCCTCGGCTCGACCAGTGAAATCTCACGGGGCGACGGATCTGAAGCCAACAANCAAAATGACGCTCCTGCCCTCGGCTCAACCGGAGAAATCTCACGGGCGGACCGACCGGAAGCCGTCGAAGAGAATATCCAAAATGACGCTCCCGCCCTCAGCTCGACCGGAGAAATCTCACGTGCCGACGGACCGGAAGCCATCGAAGAGGATATTCAAAATGACGCTCCTGCCCTCGGCTCGACCGCAGAAATTTCACCCGCCGACGACTCCTCCAAACAACTCCACCCTCTCGGAAGTGATTCCGCACAAACCTCCGCCAAAATGGACGACCACCCGAAGACACCAAATTCAGATCCGAAAACTCCGAGAGGAGACACGTTTTGGAAGAAGCTCAGAATTTTCCTCCCCAAATTCCGCAAACCATCACAACAGTCCAAACCGGACGATGATGAAAGCGTCGACGAATTAGGATCCCCTTCCAAGCTGATAAAGGCAATCGATGAAGACATAAACTTTAGCAAAACGGGCGACGAGATGCTCAAGGAGTACCAATTAAAGCTCAAGAAATTACGTGTTGATTGCGAGAAGACAAACCTGTCCACTGAAGATATCTCCAAGTTGAAGAAAGATCTCATCAAATTGAGGCTTCAGATTCCTCTCAAGCACAGAAAAGCCGATGCCGAAGGTTATCTCAAGAATCTGAAGTTGGACTCCACAGCCAAAGCGAGCACCAGTCGAGAAGTGCTCGAAAAAATGCAGCTGCACGGGAACTCAATTTTCGAAAGCAGCCCGGAGTTCAAAGATTTCGAATCCCGTTACAATGAGCTCGAGAGCAAGCTGAAGCTTTGTTTGCTGTGCTTTTCGGTTTTCCCTGAAAAAACCGTCATCAAGAAGAGAATGATGGTGCTGTGGTGGATTGCCGAGGGCTATGCATCTGAAAGCAACGCCAACGACTACTTTCTCGAGCTAATCGAGAAGGGCTTTATCGAGCCTGTGAACGAAAACAAAAGCCTGCACGTGGGTAGTTGCCGAATGCACCCTTTTTACCGATCGGCATTGGGAGTGCTTGCAAAGAGAACCGGGTTCTTGAACTTCGACCTGAAAGGGGAACCCACCCAGAATTTCGTGAGGTCATGCCAGGCGTGTTTGGTCGGGGAAGGACTGATTTCGTATGACGATCTGAAAAACGAGTCGATGAAAGTCGAGGATTTGAAGAAAGTCCATCTGCTGATCAACATCAACGAGTCCATTCTCGAGTTCAAAAAGGGCTGGTTTGGGAAGATGGAAAATATCAACTTTCTGTACTTGGGAAGATGGAGCTCGTTGGACACGGACCACCGGGAAGTCGAGGACACCGATTTTCTAAAAGATGAGCTGCACAACATGAATTCCCTTAAATTTCTCAGCCTTCAGGGTGTTTCCAATGTGATCGATCTCCCTGATTCGGTTCTGAAGCTGGCAAACCTCGAAATTCTTGATATACGAGCTTGCCCAAACCTTGAGACAATCCCTAAGAGAATATCGATGCTCAAGTGGTTGACTCACCTGGACATGTCCGAGTGTTATTTGCTCGAGCAAATGCCGAAAGCTCTTTCAACCCTCAAGGACCTGAGAGTGCTTAAAGGGTTCGTCGTGGGCAACGAGCCAGGGAAAAACAAAAACCCGTGCACTCTAGACGATCTCAAGGATCTGGAAAAGCTGATCAAATTGTGCATCTACACTGGTTTGAAAAACTTCCCTGATGAGAAAGATGTCGAAGCTTTGGGAAACTTGACGGGCCTTCTCAAGCTGACGATTACATGGGGAGGGAATGCTTTTAAGAATAATGAAGATGAAGTGAGGCCCGAGAGCAAGAATAGGGACAGAATGATCAAAATAATCGGGCTTCCTCCGAATCTTGAGAAACTCGATCTCAGGTATTTTCCCACGTCGATTACTCCGTTTTGGCTGGAGCTTAAAAATATGAAGGAACTGAAGAAACTGAGGAGGCTTTACATCAGGGCTGGGAGATTTTCGGATATTGGTCAGTATCAGGACAGCTGTGATTGGAACTGGCCGCTCAAGAAGGACACGTGGGAGGTGGAGGAGCTTCGTCTTAGGTATTTGCCCGAGATAGAGATGGAGTGGAGACAGTTGCAGGAATTGTTTCCTAATTTGGTTTACCTGGAGCAAGTTCGCTGCCCGAGACTGACTTTGTTCCCCTGTGATGCAAATGGGGTGTGGATGAAGAAAAAAATTGAATAAAAAATTAAAAATAAATGCTTTATGGCATATATTTCTTCTTTTTTTCCCTGGAGCTTGGCTCTTGATTTGTGCAGATGGCACAGAAATAAGACCACTTGTCGATTGTGTGTGCGAGTGTGATTTTCTTTGGTTTGCTGTGTGGTTTGTGTTTGTGAGTTTATTCACTATTGTGTCTATTAATGTTTGTGGCTCTATGTAAGTGTGCTGATATGAATTGGTTTCTGGTGTATTGTTCATGAGATGCAGGTGTTATTATGTATGCAGGTTTCTGTTACGAATTGCGAGTATTTGTTGTTGTGTGATTTACCCTTTGTTAGTCAATAATAATCTCCACCTGAACACAGACTATATTTTAATAATAAAGGGATAATTAAGGATACTGAATTAACTAAACTATAGAGTTGGTTTTTTGCTTGTTCCCATAAGTTAATAATTTGATATCATTTGGTTACCTTGTTGTTGATATCATTTGGTTACCTTGAAAATGAAGTTGTTTAGAGTTGGATTTTTGGTAGGTCCCATAAGTTAATGATTTGATATCATTTGGTGGTCACCTTGTTGTTGTGAATTTACTAAAAAGTACTCGTTAGAAGGAAAGACATCATTAGAGCATCTCCAACCATGTTATCTATCTTTACAGTTTCCACAGTGAAATCTCACTAGTTTTACATTTTCACTTCAATTCATTCTCTCTATAATTTTCCTCTAAAAGAATATTTCAAGTATATTCTTTTCTAATTTTATTAGTTTATTAAATAATCTCTATAAATTAAATTTTAGTGCATTATGCTTGCATAAAATTTGCATATTTTGTTCGCCTATATTTTTAAAGCTCGACCGCAAGTGTACGGCTTCGCTCGTAGTATGTGACAAGTAAGGTCGTATCCCAAGAGACCAATTAATTAATATATCAAGTACAAGATTATGTTAGTGTCAACTTTATTTAGACGGTCGAATAGGAGATGGATTAACTAAACGAAGAAAATACAATCAAAGGAAAATAAAGCAAAAATAAAGAACTAGCTAGAGAAACACGTAAGAAAATATATGAGAATGATAGATTCTAAGACTGTGGTTTCAATTAATAGTTGAGTTCCTTCAGAAATATCACAACTAAATGTTCCTTTATCTACCCTATAAGATGATCACAAATTTAGCTTATCGTCCCTCTCGAGATCGATAAAAGCGTAGATTAAATCACATATATTAGCGTCTCCACTCAACACATGCAATTGAACTCCAAATAGATTAAAAGGTCTAATATCCTCACAACGACCTACTAATCTCTCGATTCAAGCAAGTAAATTGTGTCAAATATTAAAGACCTAATATTGAACTCATCTCTCGAATTATGAACAAGATTGTCAAACATGTAAAAGCGTTGATCAAGTGCTAAACATGAAATAAGAACAAAATATTTGAATAGGGTTCAAAAGAAAACAATCAATTAGAATAATTCATCCAAAATCCCAACATATTAATCTACAACCAAGTCTTAGAATCAAATAAACTAGCCACTCATGTTTGAATTCAAATACATAGACATATTAGAAATAGACATGATCAATAAAAATTCAAAAGGAAAGAAGAAATAAAAACTAGGAATCTCGTTGATCTTTCAATCTTCTTGATCCCTTTGTAATTGATCTTCTTTTGCTTCCCAATTGCTCCTCTTGTGTGTTCTAGGACTCCTCTAATGTCTAATCCCCTCTCAAAATAAGGTAAATATGTCTTTTATAATGTCCAAAACCCTTCTCCTTTTCAAAATAGGCACAAAATAAAAACCAGCCTGCGCGCGCGACACTGCCATTCTGCCCGTGTCACCGTCCGTGTCTCTCTGTTGAGGTGACACGGCATCTGACACGGGCATGGTGCCCGTGTCACAAATCTGCACTCTCCTTTTTACTCTTTTCACTCGTTTTTTCCATTTTTTTCCTCCGTGCATCAATCTTCATCATCCCGGGAGTCTTAGGTACCCACCATGCGCATCTAATAGCTTAAAGCTCTATAAATATGTGAAATATCTACAAATAAGCATGTGTAATACTTTTCCAACAAGAATAGAATTAAAGCACAATAATGCAATTTATACACCAATAATGCAATGAATAAGCTTTAGATATTATATAAATATGGTGTAAAATCACACATGAACATATTTATGTATAAATATTAATTATTCATTAATAATATTAATTAATAAATTTAAATTAAAATCATAAAATTACACACTACATCATAAAATCACATGGAGTTCATCACAAATATTAATTTAATCTTATGTTGTAATTTTAATCTTTGTTTGAATCGTTAATTTTAAGTGAGTTTAGTATTTATTTAAGCGAATTTGAATACTAATTAATATTCTATCAAATTAATTTATAAAGTATTAAATTTTTCATTACACTACTTAAAATTCTACCATATTGATTACAATAATTAAGTTTCAAACAATTATAAAATATTTTAATTCAACTTATAAAATTAATTAATTCAATTAGCCCTAGTTAAAAAAGCACAATCACAATACATCTATAGTGTCCCAAAATACAACTCAATATTAATTTTAGCAAAAAAAAATAAAATAAAAAATGTATAGAGTGTGAACAGTGGAACGGTGTGGCAACCGTTCCACAAAAACAAGTCTACTGTTTCTGCCAAAACAAGAGGACTGATTGGAGATGATTTTCCTCCAACCCACCAGTTTTCTACATGTATGATGAACTAGTACAGAGCCCGTGGGGTGCACAATTTTAAGGCTATTTATCCAGACTTATAATTATATACATGAATAAAGAAAAATGTACGGGATATATATAGTACGTGACCCGTGCAAAGCACGAGATATATTTATTTGGATAATATTATATTATAAGATGCAATATTCAATAAAAGTTTATAATACGCAAGAAAATTGTACAATGTTCAATAAAAGTTTTATAATATTCAAGTGGAGTTTTAAAGTCTCTTGTACATTAAGACTACTGAAAAAATAATATTTTAATCAATGAGTTTCCTTTCCTTGTAGTCAAATTGTGAATGTGATTTGAGGAGTACAACAAATCGATATATAGCTGACTTGCTTTTTTCATTGTAGTTTTTTTTTCTTTTTTTTTAACAATGAATTTAAAGATATTCTAAAATATAGCAAAAATTAATTTTTTTTATTACAATTAGGAATTTTTTACTAAATATAAACTCTCAATCTATGATGTTAATCAACGTTTAAGTGTAAAAAATTAGGAATTTTTACCTCTTTTAATCAACGTTTAAGTCTAAAAAACAATAGAGTTATTATAAGTTTTTTTTCTACATCATTTAAAACATTAAATATGAGCATGTTAGGGCTAACTTGTAAAATAATTAATATATTATCTCACTAAAACATTTATACTAATAAAAATTTAATTTTAGCATATAAATTTATTCCTTGATATAAGAGAAAGTAACAGTTTTACTTATTGTTGTTCACCATATAATATTTAATTATTATTTTATTATATAATAAAAAAGGAATATTGTTAAATAGTGTAGTAGAATTGTTATAAAATTATATGATTTTTTTTTTTACAATATGGATTTAATATTTTTTTATGATTTGATAATATAAACAAATCTATACTTAACTTTGACAAATAAAACAAATAAATAATTTAGTAAGTATTTAATGTATATACTAAATAGGAATATATTTGGTATAATCAAATACCAAATATAATCAAATAAGTCAAAGTGTACATTTTTATTTGGTATTTGATTTTTTTATTATTAAATTTTTTTTATTATACTTACCTTTTTAAAATAAAATAAATAAATAAATCAATTAAATAAATAAAATATTATAATACCAAAATAGTAATGACATTTAATGCAGTTGACTTTTCTAGATAGTAAATGTAGTAAATAGAATCTCCTTTTATATAAGTATAGATTGTATAATACGGAAATAGTAATGCAATAAATATTGTTAACTTTTCTTTATACTAAATCTTATAAATGATATACCTTTTAATATAAGTATAGATGGTGGGTTGGAGATACTGTGGATTTCAATTTCTAAACTATTTTTTCCAATTATATATTCATAGTTTAGGAATTGCACATACATATAGTTTATCCACAATTGGAAATGTGGGAATGATTATGATTTACTTTAGATGATTAACAAATTTAACTTTAATATACTATATATTTCGAAAATATAATCTTTTGGTAGGTTAACAAAACTTGAACTGTAAATTGTGAATTTTCCTCTTTTGTAAGAATGATTTGTGTTCTACAGGGAACATAACATTATTATGTTCGGGGATTCCAAATCCGACATTGATTTGGGTGTTACCTTTAAGATTATGATTTGGTAAATTGTCACCATCCAATCACAAAGAAACAAAAACATCTTTTTTCTTTTTTCCTTTCTTTTTTAAATTTCATCATTTTCGCTGAACTTTGTTCTGTGACCTCCGCCGCTAAACGTCATTATCACTCAAACTTGGTGTACCCTCCACGCTTCCGGAACTTGTACATTGCTCATCGAGAACACTGATGGGCGTGGACGTACAACTCTCTGTTGCGCCTGTGCCCAACTCATATCCACCATTTCTTGTTATCCCCTGCATCACGCCCACACATTCCAACACCGCGTCCTGCAAATTATGTATGCTTTCAAAATGAACAAAATGCGTTTAACATTCAGAGAAAATTAAAAGAGAAAAAGAATCTTCGTTAGATAATTTGTTTATGCACATAGCATTTTTACTTTGTTCAGATATTCACACGAATAGATTGCCGACTCCGAAGATGGAAAGTTCTGCGGAGTCAGCTCGTGAATCGAACACAGAACCGCCGAGGCTGCAATTGCTGACGGCTTAAACACTAAAATTTCGAATTCTGCATTGAAAAAAACACATGAATTGATATGAGAAAACAATTTTTTTAAATCTATTCTAAATTATTAGATAAATTACGGGGAAACAGAACAGTATTAGTACCTTGTTGAGCACCCAAAATGATCTGTGAAGCTCGATGCTCGAGACGGTGAGCTAAACGAGAGCCGTCGATTCCAGAAATGGAGATGAAACATCGGAGGAAAGAGAAAGGGGTAAGGTATCGCGTCCGCCATTGGAGGGTTGCGAGCAGAACCTTCTCCATTCTGTGGACCCACCGTGAGTCCACCTCAAAATCTTCTTCTCTCTGCTTTTTTATAGCGGAAATTCACAGCTAATTGTTCAATCTCTGCAAATTATCCGAACAACATTGATATGAACGATGTTAATTTCTCGAGTTACCTGTAATTGGGAGAGAGGAACTGATAAATCGGCATTAGTCGTCTTGGCGGCAATGGACAAACTTGCAACTACGAGGACGTGCGCCATCCATGGCCTTTTCTCCTAAGTAATCGCCGATAAAAATCAGATGAAAATTCATAAAAAAATTAGGGCAAATTTGGTAATGGACGAACCGGAATTTGCTGCTCGGAGAGAAATCGGTCGGCGTAATTGCCGGCGAGGTAGACAAGGAATGGATCTAAGTCGTGAGACAATTTTGCCTGCGCATATGCAAAACTGATCAGCTGTCAAAATGAGGGAAACGGGGAAAATATGAACGGCATTACTTTTGCTTTCCGTTGGACTTACGCGAGAAATGAGAGAGAAGACGGTTCGGCGGAGGGAGGATCGTGGTTCGGAGGGCCGGAAAGAGAAAGGCGACGGCGCGTGGTGGGACTCGACGGAGAAGAGGGAAGCGACGCCGGCGTTCTGTAAATCGTCGAGACTGGTCAGCGGGTTCTGGACATCCAGCTCCATTATTTCGATTCGTTTAATTTTTCTTTTCAAAAAGAGCGAAAAATGAAGATTTCGCGGCGGCGCAAGTGGAAGAAGATGTCCAGGAAGAAACTGGAAGAATTTGAATGTTAAGTCGACTTGTGGATTCAGGTAATTTATTCTTGCTAAAGCATCGTTGTGGGGCGAACCCACGTGGCAAACATCCACAAGATTCAGGTAACACAGATACTTTTGTTCCCGTTAATGCACAAAAATATTTTGCATTAAATAAATAACGTAACTAATTAATTAATTAATACAAAATGTAATGGTTTATTTTTTAATATTAGCTGATGAAAAAAATGGGCAGTAAAAAAATTGTTATTGCATTAAATTTTTGTATACAATTATATATATAATATATAAATTCATATATGTAAAAATATAATAAATTCTTGTGTGAGACAATTTAATAGTTAGAAAGGTAGACTCATCATAATATATGAATTAAAATGCACTTATATTATAAAATTCATACATTTTATGTGTTATTTTTTAAAGTATAATTTTTTCTAATAAATATACACATATTTATTAAAAAATATGTCAGCATTAATGGCCAAATAGAGTACCTAAGTTAGAACATTATGCAANATATTTTTATAATTTTTTTATCATTAATTTCTCAAACACATGAGGGATTTACTTTTTCTCTGAAACGATAGAGATATTATATTAATAAAATCGCACAAAGTGCGAAAAGAAAGCAGTCAAAGACTGAATAGTACAACCAGAGACTTTAAAATTGGGAGGCAGATCCGAAGATCGCCTAGAACCGTCTAGCAACGCTAGAATGACAAACTCGCAACTACACTAACAACTAACAAAAACTAACACAACTAAAAAAGACCCCAATAAAGTAATACCCGAGTGTCTGATCCCAACAGGATAATAAAGTTGACACTCGAGCTCATATGGACAACTGCCTAAACCAAAACACAGTACATGGAGACACAGGCAAAGCGCCCAAACCAAAAACACAAACCTACTACACCATAAGACAATGAAAAAAACACACAAAGCCCTTCCACGGCAAATCAGCCGACCATAACCAGCGGAGAACAGTCGAGACAAAGAATAATCCAAGTCCAGGGGACGGCTTCCGAAACTGCCACAAGGCCTATACAAAAAGTCGATCCCAAACACAAACTAAACTCCGAAACAACCCGCCTCAACCGAAGGGACAGCCGAACCCGCACCCACTCTAGCATCTCCCGAGCACGCCTAACACCACTAGCCGAGCGAAGGAGTACCAGAACCCTGCCGTCTAACACCACTAGCCTAAACAGAGGGGGCGGCTCGGGCCCTCAACTCCGACACATCATCAGAGCCCCGTCCCGCCTCTCGACCCGCGAACCAACCAATATCACCTCAGACCACCGACATCAGTACGAGAAAGTCCCGAACGGAGGTCCGTCGGAAAAAAGAAACCACCCGAGGGTTCTCTGTTCGCTCGCAGAATTAGCAAGAGGAACCAAAGCAGAAATTGATAGGAGACTCACCTCCAATCGAGACCAGATGGTAAACGACGCCGCCAATTGCAAGTTGATCGACGACCAAGAGCTCGCCTCCTCCAACCGCCGCCACAATCCGGCGAAAAGGGCCTGAGCAGACCAACCAACGCCGGTCTTCCGCAGCAACATCATAGGGTCGGGGCAGGAGAGGAGAGGTGGCGGTCGAGCACGACCATTGGCCGGCGTTGCACTGCCGAGGAAGGCGACGAGATTCAAATGAGAAGGGGCTAGGGTTTTGGGAGTTTTTTCTTTTCGGGCGAGGATCCTGTCACGTGATTCATGTATAAGGAATTTCCCAAATTGGTTAAGGTGTCTCACTCACATAGTTTCTGAAACGTATATATTTATCTCGACTGCGCTCAACTTTGTAAGAACAAGAATAAGAACTCAATGTAGCGGAAGCAATAAATCGAAGATTTAAAAACTCTTCAGGGAAGCATCCCGCTTTCCCTCAGAGCTCTTTCATTGATAACACTTTTGAACATAGTTTGGACTTATAACAACTATAACTCCCTTCTAGGCTAGCCACAACTATGAACAAACCTATCAACTGCTTCTCCGGCCACATCCCGTGGACTTATTTCCTAACATTTACTCCCTAAGTGTAAATCACAAATGTATGAATCAAAATAAAGAAAACACAATCAGAATGATTTCAGTTCTTCGATGTTCAAGTGTACCGAGAACCGAGATGAAAAATAAAAATGTAAGGACAAAGACTTGAAGCTCAGGTGGCGTGTGTAAGTGATAATCTCAGCAACCCTACTTTGATCTTTAAGGTTTGTATTTATAAAACTTCCTTCGTGTGGAGTCTTCTACAAGATTCTTGACTTCCTTCCAAGTTTATCCAATGCATCCTTGTAGGTTTAGGACTCTTCTTTTCTCTTTAAAATATCTTCTTTCCTTTCATGACTTAGAAAGTTAATCTCCTCTTTGATTTCTCCTTATCTCGTGTGTGTGCTTTCCATAAGACGGCAACCCTACAAAAAACAATACCATATTTAGTTCATGCAATTTGCAATTGATGAATGAATAAAAAATGGGAAATTCGAATATTTGTATATGTAAACAAACAAACTTCCCTTTTATAGATTCCTTGTGCTTGTAGAAACATATCTTCAATATATTGATTTTTGAACTCATGCCAAAAATAATACTCTTTCAATCTCCCCCTTTGGCATGTAGTTCGAAAATCATATAATGTAGATAACCTGAAATACAGTTAGAACAACAAGCACAAAATAACAAATAGCTCATAAGGGAAAAATCACTTCAGTAAAGTATCACCCTCAACATCTGAGAGATAGCTCAGTGTTCCTGTATACAGAACATCATCAAATCAAAAGATAATCAAACAAAGTTCTTATACAGGCAAGACCTCACTACATCCCTCCAAAAGCACACAAAACAGCAACCAACTTCAACTTCAACCAGATGGAGATTCTCCCCCTGACTCAGACTCATCCTCTTCATCCTCAGTCTCATCACCCTTAGCCCTCTTGGCCTTCTCTCCATTTTTTGAACTACGGTATGCCGAAGGGCCTGTCCCCGAGTTCTTGCGCTGCAACCCCTTAACAGCCTGAAGGACTTGATGAAGGTAAGTCTGCTGAGCGACAACCTTCTTCGCAACCCCATCACATTCAGCAAGTTGTTGGATAAAAATTCATCCCACTTGGTTGGAACCAGAGACGGAGCAAGGTCGAACTTAGCTTTGGGATTGGCTTTCTCATTCAGAGTACGAGAACTAACCGTAAGTGCTTTGTCCGGGGTCTCAAACACATCGTTGAAGCGAGGATTCACAGAGAAATTATTAGCAGCAAGGAACGACAAAATCAGACAAGGGAAAGGAAGGGTGCAACGAGACTCGGTATTGATTATGAACGAGTGAATGATATCAAAAACAACTTCACCAAAATTAAACATCTGAACATCCATAACCCAATAAAGAACTTTGCTCTGAAGTTCGGTGAGCAAATTCTTATGGGAGGTAGGTGTCCAATTACCAGTACCAATCTTGTGAAGAATGTTGGCAGTAAGGCAAAGGAACTCACATGCAGATTTGAACCAGGCCATGTATCAAGTTGGTTATTAGAAAGGGTTTTAGTGACAATATCAAGATCAACTTCGGGCAAGGAAGGAACATCAGCAGACAATCCTAAGTGCACATTCAACAATTCAGGAGAGAAATCAATAACTCTATTCCTAAGAAAGAGTTTATGAAAACGAGGACTACCAAGAGTAAAAACATGAGGAGTTAGATTCGCATAAAACTCCCTAACTGCTTGACCACAAAAAGGACTAAGGTCAGACACGGTTTTAGACAAACCAACAGCATCAATAAGTTTAACAATACCCAATTCAACATACTTCCCATCAGAAAGAGGATGCTCAGCCCTAAAACCATAAGATGGAAAAATTCTTAAAGCGACCAAAAGCAATCTGAGTATAGAACCTGTTGGAGTACGCATTAGACAGATCATAATCATCATCTTCTGGTTCCTGCTCAACATGAACTTCCTCAACTGGTTCTTTACCCGCGCGTCTGGTAGATCGGCAGACAGAAGGACGACGTGGAGGGGTATCTTGGTCGGAGCAGACTTCAATGGCAGTACCGGCGGTGTCCTCTTTGTCTCCGTCCTTTGTGGTTGACTTAGTGGCAGATGTAGGAAACGCCGATGACTCCCCCTAATTTGTGCCGGTGGCGATTTCTTGAAGCAAGGGAGGAGAGAGAACAAGAGCATTAGTGGACATCGAAGATGGTTGAGAAGTTCTGTTCTCTGTGTCCGTCTTTTCCAGTGAAGCGGTCGGAGTAATAGGTGGTGAAGCTTGCGGCTGAGAGGTTTCCGGTGGTGGTGCCTCACGCGGCGAAACTGGGAGAGACGGTGTACCGACGCCGCTTAGAGCCCCTGTCCTTGCTTTTCTTATGGAATTTTTTTGACTTATCCTTACTTCTAACCATGGAGAACAGGCGATGGTGGAGAATCTTGAAAATTAGGGTTTGGATCAGCAAGAGAAAGTTGAAGAGAGAAGAGAAAGGATTTTTGAGAAATAATGAGAGAGAGAGAGAGATGGGGTGCCGTGTTGGTTTAAAAGGATTCTGACATAGGTAACCGTAAAAGGTGGTTTCCGTGTTTCAAGATGGAGAGAGAAAGAGGTTGAGGGGTTTTATGCCAATCAAATCCATCCAAATCAAATTCAAACACACACATAACTCACACAAATAACTTCCCAATTTAATTCAAAATTCAAATAGAGAAATCAGATTTTATTCCATAATATGCACCACACAAAATATCTAAGACCCAAATAGCTCGGTTTCAAGAAGGAAATCATATGTTGTATGCCTAAAAATAAAAAAATAAAAATAGCATGCAAGACACTAAGATCAATAAAACACCACGTGCTTGACGTCAAGCCACTTCGTCCTCGTCGTGCAGATGAAGAATTGCATGTCGTTCGTCTCCAACCCAACGTTCGCCATCAACATGACCCTTGTCATGGTGAGCTTTCTCACGAAGTTCTCATTGGCGAACTTGGCGTCGTAGATCGACTCGTCGCCAGTGCAATTACGTGCAGTGAAGTCGTCGCCATGACAAATGAAATCAGGGATTGCACGGTGGAAGGATGACCCCTTGTGGTGGAGGGGTTTGCCGAATTTGCCAACACCCTTCTT